CTGCTTGGGACACTCCCATCCCATATCACAATGTCTGGGTTTGAGTCCTGTTTCTGTTTCCAATTCCTGCTTCCTGCTAATGCACACTCTGGGAGGCAGTGGTGAGCCACTTGGGTCCCTGCCAGTTACATGGGAGACCTGGATGGAGTTCCTGACTCCAAGCTTTGGCCTGGTCCAGCTTCTGCTATTGCAGGTCTTTGGGGAGTGAACCAGCAGATGAATGGAATATCTGTCTCTCTGTCTTTCAAATAAATAAATAGATTTTTACAAGAAAGTACCCTGCATTCATTTGTTAGTACCCCATGTGATTTTAATCATATGTGCGTAAGTCATGCCAGACTATTCCTGTCATCCTGTGGCCTGCTTGCTGCACTCCCTGGATCATGGATTTCTTTCTGTTATCCCTGCAGAGATCTGCCTCCAACACCAACACGGGCTATCTTCCTGACACTTGCTGAAAGGGGCACGGTCTCTGTACCTGGCAGGCTGTATCCTTTCTGGAAATCAAAATAGGAAAACCAGTAATGTGAAATGTGATTTTGCTACACGAACAACTGAGAGGTGAGTGTGAGAAAGTGTGAGGGGTCTTCAAGAAAGTTCATAGAAAATGAGTATTATGAAAATGCCATGCATGGATTTCAAATTGTTTTGCACCTAAATAAACTTACCTTTTATTTCTCGTTTCCATAAACTTTTAGAAGTAGCCTTATATATGAGGTATTGAGTAGTAAGCATTACAGAGATGGAAAAAATGGTGGCTGCCAGGGGCTGGGGGCAGGGTGGGGTGGGAGCAGGTTGAGGGCTCAGTGTTTTGTGAGCACAGAGCGTTGGATGGAGGATGAAGAAGTTCTGGGGATGGGTGGTGGTGAATGTATTCTGTGCCACTGAACTGCACATTTGCAAACGCTTAAAGAGGCACATTTTGAGGCCTGCGCTGTGGTGTAGCGGGTGAAGTCCCACCCATATGGGTGCCGGTTCGAGTCTTGGCTGTTCCACTTCCAATCCAGCTCTCTGTTGTGGCCCGGGAAAGCAGTAGAAAATGGCCCAAGTCCTTGGGCCCTTGCACCCGCCTGGGAGTCCCAAAAGAAGCTCCTGGCTCCTGGCTTCAGATCAGTGCAGCTCCAGCCATTGTGGCCATCTGGGGAATGAACCAGTGGATGGAAGACCTCTCTCTCTCTCTCTTTCTCTCTCTCTGTCTCTCTCTGTAACTCTGCCTTTCAAATAAATAAATAAATCTCTTTTTTAAAATGAAGTTGTGCATTTTATGTTATGTGCATTTTACCACAATTAAAAATGTAAAAGTTGGGGGCTGGTATTGTGGCACATTGGGTTAAGCCACTGCCAGCATCCCATATTAGAGCACTCGTTCAAGTCCCAGCTGCTCCACTTCCCATCCAGCTCCCTGCTAATGTGCTTGGGAAAAGCAGCAAAGATAACCCAAGTACCTGGGCTCCTACCACCCACATCGAAGATCAAGATGGGGTTCTGGGTTCCTGGCTTCAGCCTGGTCCAGCCCGAGTGGTTGAGGCCATTTTGGGAGTGAGCCAGTGGATGGAAGACCTCTCTCTTTCTTTCTTTCCCTCTCTCTCCCTGTCACTCTTTCAAATAAATAAAATAAATCCCTTTAAAAATGTAAAAGTAATGTATTCTTCAGGACTCCCAAGCCAGGCCTGTGCCAAATGTCCAAATTGCCCTGTATGAAACAGCCAGCCAGGGCAGGCTCATGCGCTCATCCAGTGCATACATCAGGGCACATGAGCCCACAGGCTCCAACCGGATCCTCGCCTGGCTGATGGCAGGTCTCAGCGCAGAGTTCAGTCTCTGAGCACCTGTGGCTTGGGAGGTGGGGAGGAAAGCTGGCAGAGCGAACCATGGGAATCGCAAATCACCCAATCACACCTGGGAACACATCAACCAACCCCAGAGGCTGAGGGGACGATAGTGGAAGCTTCCAGCCCCCACAAGTTACTAAAAATAAGAACCTGCAGAAAAGCCGCCACCGGACATGTCCCCTGTCCTGGCGGAGAAGGGGTCGTGGACTGTCAGACTGGGTCCTGGCTCTGCACCCTTCTAGAAGTCTGATCTTGTACACTCTGCTGCTACCATTCCTGGAGCTTCATTTGTAAGGAGCTCAGGGCAGTGCGGGGCACATGGGCAGTGCAGTGTGAGTGCTGGCTTATTGCTCCTCCCTCCCACGATGTGAGCACTGCACAGTTATGGAGTGGGGAAACAGAGCGCGGAATGTCTTCTGAAGCGGCGTCGGACTGAGCCCTGGCCTGCTGACTTCCAACCGCGGCTCCTGTCACCCAGCCACTCTGCATCCACTTTCCACTCCCAGCCTGCGCTGCCAGCCCTTCCCCTAGAAGCCAGTGCTGGCCCCACGCAGTGCAGAGAGCACTGGGCTAGGGCAAACTCTGTGCTGTCCTGGTCCTCCTGCTCCCCGAGGCCCAACAGAGGGAACCTGCCTGTGCACTGGGAACAGAGCCTGCTTGCTATCAAGCAGGAGCCCTGAGACATAAAGACCCCCCACACCAGTCTGTGCAAGACTGACCTGCCAGGGGCCCCCGCTGCCCCACCCTGGGCCCATCTCAGTGCCGTGGGTCTGTTCCCTAGAGGGTGGACAAAGCTGGAGGAAGAAACTGGGGGTGTGTGTGGGGGGGGAGCTGGGGGTGTTTGCACGCTTTTTGTCTAAGTGATTCATGCACAGGTTACAAAACGCCAAGGCACAAAGGCGTATTATTCCGTGTGGGCTGAGTCCCTCCCCCCAGCTTTGGCGCCCCGCGGCCAAGTTCTTGCCAGACTGAGACCCGCACTATGTTTGGAAACCCTCCGGTCAAATTGATTTGTTGTTTAGGCAGTTGGTTCTCACGGGCCACAAAGAGCCCCAGGGTGAGCCCATCTGTGAAAGCTGCCGGGCACCGAGGGCCGCCGGAGGCTACAGGGCTACAGTGGTGGCCACCGTGGGGGAGGCGGAGGGGGTGGCGTCCACTGTCCCTGCTCCGCCAGTGTGTGCTCCAAAACACAGTCACCTTGGGCTTCTTTTCAGCCTTTTGTGATTGAGGCTGGGAGCCCACAACACACCCCTACCCGCCCCCCCAATCCTTCTTGTCCTTAAGAAAAACCCACAGAGGCAGTGTCAGGCCCTGTGCATTGGTCTATGCTGAGAGTGACAAGGATCCGCATCAGGGCCGTCTCTTCCACCCCCTGCCTCATCCTCTCTTTCTTAGTGCTCATTTCCCTCCCCTCCATTTCTATTCACCACCCCCAGCTGTACTCTAAACACCTACCGTAAATGGTGCCTGGTTTCCTGCGAATTTATGATTGATGGTTGTTCATCTTATTAACTAAGTGGCTTTGCTAGGTAAAATATTAAGGCACTATTGCCATTATGACCTTGTCTTCCATGATCTCATTGGCAGCTGGTGTTTCCATGACAACTTGGCTAGAGACACTGGTTCTGAGTTTCAGTGGAAGGGGAGATGAACACTGGTGTGTGTGTGTGTGTGTGTGTGTGTGTGTGTAGGAGACGCAGAGCTCCCACCATGTACATCTGTGGTGCAGGAAGCCATGGCTTTCTTAGTCCACACCTTCTGTGTCTCCTTTCCATTTGGTCAAAATTAACCTCAGGGATCTAAATCAATGGGAAGGAAGCGTTAGAGGATGAATTCTGTCTCTGGCCTCTTCAGTGGCAAATTGGAACCAGGGACACAAATATTCTAGAGGCTTTCTACCCTACTGAACTGAGGACTTCCAGGCAGTTGGAGCTGGAAGGGAAGTTGCAGCTGTCATCTGGTCTGACTTTGTTCAGATGAGAAAACGGTGGCCCAAAGAGGGTAAGCGAATTGCCCCATAGCGAGGGGAAGGCATGCACCTTACACTTGGCCTACAATCCTGGCTACAGGGTGTATTTTCCTCTGACCTTTGCCAACTTACTTAACCCCTCCAAGTCTCAAATTGCTCCTATGTAGAATGGAGAAAATAAAAATAGTATGAGCAGGCTTATGGATCCGTGTGATGATGAAGTAAGACAACCCACAGCACCTGGCACATATTAAACCCTCCATAAATTTACTGCCAGTGGTCATGTAGGGAGCCAGAGGCAGAAATTGGACTAGAATCCAGCTCAGGTGACTTCTACGTAAACTGGAGCTTTCCTCCTGTTAACCCCACACCACCCTTTGTTTCTTTTCGTGAATGTGTCACTTGTCCCATGGAGAGCAGAAGCGGGTCTCGGGTGGGGAGGTTGGCTTTTCTTAAAGCCTATGAAATGCATTTGTGCTTACAGTACCTACCTTGGGGATATGTGCTGTTTTGAGGCTAAACATTAGACATTTCGTGCACTCATGGAACATTTGTTGAATGCAACTGCATGGCCACAGGTGCAGGGGAAGAAGGAGGGGGAAGAAAACTTACAGATGGAAATGACAAGTTTTGATCACACTGCATGCAGCTAAGCTTTTTATAATGAACCATCCCAGCAGCCTTATGAGGCGAACATATTCATTCCCATTTTACAAATAAACAAGCCAAGACCGAGCGGCTTTGCAGCTCGTCCAGGTTCACCATGGCTCATGGAGAGAGCTGGGTTTCCACCCCACCCCCACCCCCCGACTTCAGGGGGCCACTGATGTGCAGACAGACTTTGAGGCTCAAAATAATTTCTCACCCTTATGAGCCCCAAGTATTTCCTGATATAGTGAGAGGGAACCCCAGACTGACAGCTTTCCCAGGGCTGACACAGTGTCCAAGGCACTGGCACCTACCTCTGGGCACTCAAAATACCCTCCCGCCGGAAGCGGGCAGGCCTGGAAAGTCACACCCAGCATGGGTAGGTTTGCAAAATGTGACTCATTTAAACCTGTTTTCATCAACCATCAGGAATAAGAGCCGCACAGTGGACCCCCCCCCTCCCCCCAACAGAGTCCTGTTTAAAGGGGAAGCCGTTCTGGCAGAATTTATTTCACAAGTTTTTTCTGGCGTAGGGGCACGACCATCGGGTGGGGGGCGCGGGGTGTGAGTGAGCAGCGATCCTGTGTCCCAGGTAATGACGCTATTAGAGCAGCAGGCCTCACACATCTTCCTCAGTCTACCAGTTGGGTAAAGCAGCGTGGAATTTCACCGAGGGACCTCAGTGGACACCCGGGACGGAGGTCAGTTACGGAGACCCTGTTGGGAGTCACCGCGTGAACTCACACACGTAGGAACTTAGAAGCTGCTAGTTACTATAATAACCCTTATGGTAAGACCCATTCGATGTAGACATTAATACCCTAAGCCTCAGCATTAGATTACGCAGGATGTCCTCAGTAGCCCACTTCGCAGCAGGCCATCCCGCATCCCAGCCACACCCTGCATGACCCAGCACGCGGGTACTCCCCAAAGGCGCACCGAGCCCGCACAGCAGCTGCCCGAGCACACCGCCCAGGCCCCGGACCTCGCCGCCTCCCCAGCAGAGAGAAGCCGCGGCCTCAGCCGCTCTTACATAACCGGGATGACGTCACCGCGGGCGGCTCCCGCAGCCCGGGGGCGGGGCCGCGCCGGGGGAGGGCATCGGGTACGCGGCGCGGGCTCGGCGTGCGGCGCGCGTCCAAGCCCCATGCCTTTTCCGCAGCGCCGCGTGGGTCCGGGCGCGCGGGCGGCCGGTGGGCGGGGCCAGAGAGCTGTCACGTGGCCCGCTTTAGTGGGAGCCGGAGGGGCCGAGCCCGCGGCTCTCTCGCCGTCTAAGTGGAGGGACTAAACGAGTCTGGAGCGACAGGGGTGCCTGTGGTGCAGCAGCCAGAGTGCTGCTCCCGGGTGCTGGGGGGCGCGGCTTCCGTCTGGGGGGCGGGAGCTGGCCACGCCCCCGCCCGCGTCCGCCCCACTGACGTAGGGCGTCGCCAGCGCCGTGGAGCCTCCTGGGCGTTAGGTCGGCGCCCGCACTGGGGGACCGTCCTTCGTGAGGGTGTTTGCGGCGTGAGGCTCGCTCGTCGCGAGTCGCCATGCGGGACTCTGCCTTGGTACTTCCCCGGGCGTGTTTGTGGTCAGCGAGACGATGCGGCGCGCGTGCGTGCGCGCGCCTGGTGAAGGGCGCTTGGCGGTGGCTCCAGGAGCCCCAGGGCTGGCGGATTCCGCGGAGGGCAGAGGGAGGTTCTTATCTGAGAATTCATTAAGCTCCCTGGTGGATCTCCACCCTGCCTGCGCGTCAGAGCCTGGGGGAGAATAACGACGCCAATTCCCAGGCCCCACCCGTAGGGACGCTGACTCAGTGGGGCTGCGCGGGGCTTCGCCTGGCAGTCTTTCAAACCCGCCAGGTGGGCGACTTCCGTCCGTCCCTGCACTGGGTTTTATCATTTGTTCGTTTCCGTCCTGCCTGGGTTCAGGCGGAGCTCCGAGCAGAGGCAGGAGTTGCAGCTCCCTTCTCTTCACCCCACAGGGTTTTGGGAAAAGTTCAGTCCCTCCTGAGGCGTGGAGAATGTTGAGAATAACTCTCCGCCCTGTCCCACTAAAGGACAGGTGACGGCCTCTTTCTTTCAAAGGATGTCTTCTGGCAGTGGCCACTGTTGGCTGGATCTTTCTGTGTTACACAGAGCACAGTAGGAACGCTTGCGCCAGCTTGCAGCCCGGGGAGAGCAAGCTGGTAGAAATCCCTCTCTGGGGCTCTGGACCCCTTCCTTCTGACCCAGCTTGAAGGGCCCGTCCCAAGCCAGTGGTGTGCGTGGAACAGGCGGCTGCGGCACAGACTTAGGTGGCTTTGCCTGCTCCGCTTGGTGAGTTGTGGGGGCAGACAACAGCTTCTTTTGATTACATTGTGAGAACCTGTAGTTAGGATTTATGATATTTTTGTTGGCACGCCAGGATTTTTGTAAAGCCTTCCTGTTTTCGGTCCCTAAGCAGCAGGGTCTGGTGTGTGTTTCCTAAACTTGCCAGAATCTGACAGTTCCCTGGCTATTTTAAAAAGGACTCCCAGGCCCCAGGCAGGTATGGGTGCCACCTGAACAAATTCTCTACTTGGGTGAGTAGGGGGTGAGAGGACCCGAATGCCTCCTAGCCGGCACCCACCACCCCCACCACCCCTACCGTGATTCCTACTATCTGGGGTTCAGGTAGCACTAAGTTCCATTGTTCTCAGCTGGAATCAGAATCATGGGGAGAGCTCACCCCACAGTGTCTGACTTAGGAGACAGAAGGCATTTCTCACAGGTCTCCAGGTGAGGTTGGTCTGGGGCCTCCCCCTTTGACACGGAAGACCTTGGCCTTTATCCTCTACTATCTCATGACCTTAAAACTGACATCCAGAGTTTGTGAAAAGGAAGTGCTTCCCCAAGAGGGAGAGGGCGCTCACATGAAAGCCAAGTCTTATTAACAACAGATTGGGCCAGGCTGGAGTTCTGGTGTGGAAGGCCAAGATCCAAGGCCAAGGGCAGGTAGGACGCGTCCTGCAGGCTGGCCACGCACTGCCCGCTTGGCGGGGCTCCCAGCCTGGAGTTTGAGGGAGAGCTTTCATCCACAGAACCTCCCTGCAAGCAGTCTAATGCGGATCAGCCAGGTAGCCCAGAGGCCACTGCCTCCTCTAGTGGGTGTCAGAGGAACACCTGCGTGGCTTCCTGCCTGGAGGAGAGGGGCTTCCGGCCGGGTTCCTCCATGTTCCCCGTGGCCTGCTGTTTTTCTGGCTCTCTGTGCTTTAGGAAGCCCTCGCTCATTCTCTGCCAGTGCCCTTCCTGGGCAGGTCCCCACTCACTGACCCAGGGCCCTTGGTTCCATCAGCAAATCCTTTCAAGGCAACCCTAGGGCTCACTTCTGCTTGAAGGGAAGGCAGGTCTTTGCAGTTTGAAATGTACTTAGAGGCCCTACTAATGCCAAGGGTTAGGAGGTCCATGAGCTCAACCAAACATGGAAGGAATTGGCTTGAATAATCATAATAGTACAAACAGCAACCACTGTTCTTAGTATGTTCCAAGTGCTATTATAAATACCTTACACACACGATCTCTCGCTCTCTTTTTTTCCATTTAGGCCATCCGACAGGTAGCACTTATTATCTGTGTTATTGTTCCTCATCTGTAGATGAGGAAACAGGAACTCAGAAAGGTTAAGTCAACACACTAGGTTGCATAGCTATTAAGAGGCAGAACTGTATGATTGGTGTTGTGACGCAGTGGGTTAAACTGTATCCTGGTTCGAGTCCCAGCTGTTTCGCTTCCGATGCAGTTTCCTGTTAGTGGATCCTACGAAGTGGCAGGTGATGGGTCCCTGTCACCCTTGTGGGAGACCTGGATGGAGCTCCTGGCTTCAGCTTTGCCCAGCCCTGGCTGTTGCAGGCATTTGGGGGAATGAACCAGCAGATGGAAGATTCTCTCATTCTCTCCCCCCCCACTTTGAAGTAGATAAAAATAAACATTTTTTAAAAAGGCAGATCTGTGATTTACTCCCAGGTTGTTCAGTCCAAGCCCTTGCTGCTGATACTATTTTTAGTTTCAAGTCAACCTTTCAGGAAGGCTTTGGAATAAGAAGTCTTGCTTGAACCACCAGTGAGCCACTCACAGTGGAAGGAAAGGGGAGAACATTCTCTGGATGGCCTGGGCATTCAGGCAAGTTATAGGTGGTGCAAACAGGAACATTTTTCCTGTTCACAAAAGAATGACTGACCTGACCGAGGCAAGAGGTGATGCCTGCCCCTTGGCACTGACTTCCAAACCAAACCCAGGCTTGTAAACATCCTTGGGCCTCTTCCGGGGCGTGTAACGGGCTGTTGAACCTGGCCGGGGCCTGAGGCAGCTGGCCAACTGTTGGCAGTGTGTGTGTGTAATCAGGGCATGTGGGAAGGCTCTCGGCCTCTTGTGGACGCTTGGGCTTAGAGGCCTGCTCTCCCTTGAGGGGGAAATAGTGGACCCTTTGGCTTAGAGTCCTGCTCTCCCTTGAGAGGGGGGATTGTGTGGCTCTGTGGGGGCACAGAGCTGTGTATGGGAAGAGTCTGCCCTCATGGTCTTCCCCCTCCCCCTCCCCCAGGCCTGCCAATTTTGTAAACTGGAAAGGAGCAGAGTAAAAGTAGATGTATTGCAAGAGGAAGGTGGAGTGAAGCCATGCAGCCACTCTAGGTTATGCCTGTCTGGTGTGATCCCTTTGTGCAAACTGGTAAAAGCACTTTGCATGCTCACCGTCATCTGCTGGAAAATTGTCATAATGCAGGTGCAGGTCTCTCACTGCTGTAATCCGAAAGGCGCCTCTGGAGTTGTGCAGTGCACTGTGTGCCCTGAAGGAGCTGCCTTGCCTCCCCCTGAGCAGGTGCAGAGCCCAAATCACTCTGCCTCCTCCTCCTTCATGGCCCACTTGCAAATCGGCCCCTGTCCTCAAGGCAGGGATAGCGCGAGGTGCAATCAGCACGTTGTTAGTGGCCTCCCACACGTTCCTTTTCAGAACACGAGAAAGACTGTCCATTGATCAAGGGTATAGGGCTTGGGGTTTTTTTGGTCTTTGTTTTTGCCACTTTCCAGTATCAGAGGCAGAGAGACAGTTCAGAAACCAAAATGTTGGAGTCTTCTTATATTTTTAAAATCTGAGGAAGATAATATTCCAGGAGACGTAGGCCTGGAGAAGATGGTGGTGTTTGTGAGAGCAGGAAGGGAAGCAGGGAGGATGAAAAGAGAAGAGGAAGGAAGGCGTGCGGTGTGTTGGAAGAGGCAGAGAGAGGATCAGGCTTTCTCTCTGAAGGAGTCTGTGTCCTGGCTCCTGATGGCCATTCTTCCTGTGGGTCTGCTTTTTCCAGTAGTGACTAGGAGTCTGCATCGGAGGACTTTACCCGCTGATGCCTTGGAGGTCCGAGTCCCTGGAAGAGCCTTCTTGGTCTGCAGAGGGAACAGCAGCATTGGAAAAGCAGCTGCCACTGAACTAGCCAAGCAAGGTGAGCAGCGTGCCCCGTGGCCAGCCTGAGTCACTGGCAGGCCTGGAAGTCCTGGACAGTGATTGCATAGTGATGGGCGTGCTGCCAGCCATGTGAGTGATGCGTGCAGCTTCGAGCTAGAGGTGGACAGAGCCAGTACCTGGAGCCCTTTCTTCAACACTTAATTCACAGGAGGGCTCAGGGCCTTCCCCGGGTCACCGTGTTTTCTGAATGACAGCAATGAGGAGCTCAAGCTGACTCTGGTCACCAGGATCACCGCTGGAGCCGTGGCTACAGAGCTATTACTGAGATTCTCACGAGGGGCATTGCATCACTGCCTAGATGTGAACCCTAGTGAAGAGCACAGGGCTTCCAACATAACTGGAGAGCGGAGTGCACTTGCTTGCTGGTGCCCAGATCAGAGCAGCTGGAGGCGAGAGCAGCTTAGCACTCCTCTTCCCTAAGCTTGGCTGTGCAGGGGCTCACCAGGTGCCCCATCAGTTGTTCAGTGAAAGACTTCCTTGGGGCAAATGCCAGGATTTCCTGCCTGGACTCTACAGTGGCTTGGGAAGTTGGCCCAATCTTTCCAGAGCCTCTTTTCTGGGAAACATGGATGTCTGGCAAAAGCCAGGGACATAGGGTGGGGAATTTATCACTCTTCAAGATACTGAAGGTGATTCCTTCTCTTCCCCCTCTAAAACCAAGTTCAGTGTGTTCCAGGGGAATATGAGATCCCTGGGAGCTTTATTTAATTATCTGCCAAATCAGGGGGAGGATTAACTGCATCTTGGCAACTGGGAATCGTTATGCTGGGTTGTGAACAGGGGCTGGTTTTGTAGTTTGCCTGCGGCCTCCCATGAAGTAGACCCCATGGGCTATTTTTAGTGAAGGAAGCAGACTCCATACTTCTTTTTTTTTTTAAGATTTATTTATTTATTTGAAAAGCAGAACTACAGAGAGCCAAAGGCAGAGAGAGACAGAGAAAGGTCTTCCATCGCTGGTTCACTCCTCAAATGGCTGCAATGGCCAGAGCTGAGCCAATTTGAAGCCAGGAGCTTCTTCTGGGTCTCCCATGTGGGTTCAGGAGTCCAAGGATATGGGCCATATTCCACTGCTTTCCTAGGCCACAGCAGAGAGCTGGATCGGAAGTAGAGCTGCTGGAACTGGAACTGGCACCCATATGGGATGCTGGCACTGCAGGTGGTAGGCTTACTTGCTACGCCACCATGCCACCCTCCATGCTTCTTTACTGATGTGGCCAAGGCATCCTCCTTTAGAGGATCCTTGACTGATGATGCCATGGTATTTGCTGGAATACATGGAACCATCTGTGGATTCCACATTCAGTAACTGTTTATTGAGTCCCTTCTACGGGCTGGGCCAGTGCTTTTCCACTTTGGATGTTAGATCATATGCAGAGCTTTTAGGACCCACCCAGGGAATGGGTGTTTGACCTAGCAGCTAAAATTCTGGGTGGGATACCTGAGTGCTATGCTGAAGTGCCTAGGTGTGTGTAGTACCTGACTCTGGCTCCTGACACCAGCTTCCTGGTAATACTGACCCTGGGAGGCAGTGGTGGTGAGTCAAGTAATTGGGATCCTGCTACCCACATGGGAAACCTGGATATAACTCCTGGCTCTGACTTCAGTCCCCCTGCCATTGTGGTCATTTGGGGAGTGAAGGAGTGGATGGGAACCATCTCTGTTTATCTCTCTGCCTCTCAAATAAACAAATTCAAATAAGAAACATACTGAGGCCTGGGCCAATCATCTAGATCTTTAAAAGTTTCCCCAGGTGAGTCCAAAAAGCAGCCAGGGTTGAGACCTCTGAATCAGAAGGTAAGATGCTGGGAATGCAGATATAGCCAAGAATTTATTGTGTCCAGATCCTTAAAAAGAAGAAGAAAAAAGATGTTATTCCAGGTGTGCTGCCAGCCCAGATGGGCAAGAGAGAAAATTCATTCTATTGTCACCTTCACTGTTACCTTACCACTCTACATGTGGGATGAAGCATTAGGATTTTCCAGAATAGTCTCAATTGGAGGTACTCTTTCTGTAGGTCTTCCATGTGTCTCAATTTTCCATTGCAAACCTGGTTTGCATAGCTGTTGCTGTGACTCACAGATGGTTTCTCTGAATTCCAGCAGGTGGCACAGTTTACCTGATTTGTCAGGACAAGAACAAGCTCAAGGGGCCAGAGGTGAGATCATGGGGAGAGCAGTAACCAGGTGAGTGGCTAGTCCCCATTCTCCGGGCATTCTTGCCTCTGTGGTCAGCTTCAAGGAGGCTAGGCACCAGCCCGCGTTCACTGGGCAACTGCCTGTGTCTGTGCCTCTGCGCTGGAGAGGCAGCCTCAGCCAACAGTGCCCTACCTACCTGGAATTGCTCGATTTGGCCCAAAATAAGTGGCATACCAAGGTCTGCCCCTGCAGCCCTGGCTGCCTGTGAAGCGAGCAGAAGCCAGCAGCCCGGTTGCTGCTGCAGGAACATTACACTGCACAGCGGCACTGCTACCTTTTCCACCCCAGAGGAGCCCCATCGTGAAGACGCATCAAGGGGCCACCAAGACATGGATTAGTTCACCCAGTGGCCTGCCATGAAGAGGAATAATCAACAGCATTATGGTCTTGATGAGAACTGCTTTTTTGGTTGTTGTTGTTTGTTTTTCATTCATTTGAGAGACAGACAGCTACTAAATGCTCACAACAGCCAGGGCTGGGCTGAAGCTGGGAGCCGGAAACTCAGTCCAGGTCTCCCAGGTGGGTGGCAGGAACTCAGCTACTTGAGCTGTTGCTGCTGCCTCCCAGGGTGAGCATTAGGAGGAAGCTGGGAGGGAGTGAAGCCTGGACTCTAATGCAGATACTCTTGTATGCCGTAGGGGCATACCGTACCTGCTCCGTAAGAGTTACTTAGCTACTTAAATTTTTTTTTCTTCCTTCTTTCTTTCCTGGCTGCCTTCCTTCCTTAAGATGCAGGGTTGCCGGCGCCGCGGCTCACTAGGCTAATCCTCCACCTTGCGGTCCCAGCACACTAGGTTCTAGTCCCGGTCGGGGCGCCGGATTCTGTCCCGGTTGCCCCTCTTCCAGGCCAGCTCTCTGCTGTGGCCAGGGAGGGCAGTGGAGGATGGCCCAAGTGCTTGGGCCCTGCACCCCATGGGAGACCAGGATAAGTACCTGGCTCCTGCCATCGGATCAGCGTGGTGCGCCAGCCACAGCGCACCGGCTGCGGCGGCCATTGGAGGGTGAACCAACGGCAAAAAGGAAGACCTTTCTCTCTGTCTCTTTCTCTCACTGTCCACTCTGCCTGTCTAATTAAATAAAAAAAATAACCAAAAAGATGCAGGGTTACAGAGAGAGGGGAGACAGAGAAATTTTCCATCTGCTGGTTCACTCCCCAAATGGCTGCAATGGCTGGACCTGCGCTGATGCAAAACCAGGAGCCAGGAGCTTCTTCTGGGTCTCCCACATGAGTGCAGGGGCTCAAGTGCTTGGGCCATCTTCTACTGCTTTCCCAGGTACATTTTTAGGGAGCTGGATCTGAAGAGGAGCAGCTGGGACTAGAACCAGCACCCATATGGGATGCCAGTGTCACAGGCCACAGTGCTGGCCCCTGGAGAGTTACTTTCTAAGAAGAGCTGCAGATATGGCCCATGTTTTGTGGTCTTCTTTTGAGAGGGTTGGAACCCCAACTGGCTTACTTAGTTGGCGGGACTCAGTGCCAAATGAAAAGGTGGGACCCTTGTGTCTGAGTTACTGACAGTTTCAAGATGGTGAAGGCAGAGTATTAAACCAAGCATGAGACCATTCTCAACGTGGAGCCCATGCCACTGCACAAATCCTTTGCCTATTAGGTGGGCCGTACATGGGAAACCCTGGCCACCACGGTCAAATGGAGAGAGAGGACCCCTGGGGATGATGCTTGGCCACCCCAGCTCACTGTAACTAAAGAATAGGCACATTCCATTTTTACCACTCTATTTTTGCTTGCTTCTTCAGCAGACCCCACAACTGGGAGTCCCAAAAGAGGGACTGGGGGTGGAGTGGGTGGTTGATCTCAGCCCTGCCTCTCAGGCTTGGCATGGCCAGAGAGAAGAATGCCCCAACCTCACACGGAGGGTTTTGCATGGCTCCTGAAGGTTGTTATTATGTTTTGTTCCTTTCCCCTGCTCACAGATGAATGTCACACCATCAGATGCCTTACAGAGGCTCAGAGCTGGCGGCGACGGTGAGGGTCTGTAAATCTTCTCTAATGTCTGCAAGTGCTGCTACGATCTGCGGGCTGCGGTGCCTGGGATTGAAAGCTGGCTGTCTGCCTGCTGATAACTTTCAGTTTTGCTGCTACGGGATGCAACAAGAATACTAATCTTGTGGACAGAGGAAGGTTTGCTTGGATTCCAGCTCACTGGGGTTTGGGCTACAGTTTTTTTACAAAGTGGATTTATATGGAAACATGATAATGTGGCTCTGTTCACAATATTGACCTATCCTTATATCCACTTCCCTCATCTTTGGGAGGGCTCCAGAGCTGCAAAGGGAAGTAAGCCTGTTTCCTGGGGGGCTGTGGAGAGTGAGCCCTTCACCCATTGCCCTCTCACCCTCATGTCTGCATGTAGAAGGGACTAGAACACACACACACAGGAAACCCACTCTCCTTTGTGATCGTCAGTGTCCTCCAGCACGCAGAGCTTAGAGGGTCCGAGGCAGCGGTGGCACCCCTGCTTTGATCTCTGGGTGTGTTTCCCTGACTCTAGGGCCCCCTGGGCTCTGCATCCTCCCTGTTAGGCAGAGGTACCCTCTCCACAGCCCAAGGCAGGTGCCGAGGCCAGAGGCTGCTCACACAAGCGGCCAGGTGTGCAGGGAGGGATTGGACTCCCTCCCTTGTGAGTCCTGGTACTGTACTCACCTGCCTTGGGAGCATGGGCACTGTTCTTAGCTTCCCTGAGCCCCACTTTCCTCCTATGAAAAACAGGAGTAACATTACTTTATTCATTATTTTAAAAAAGATTTATTTATTTGAGATGCAGAGTTACAGACAGAGGGAGAGACAGAGAAAGGTCTCCCATCCAGATTTCCTGTTTCCCCCTGATGTCCTGGTTCTGCTCTGGGTCCCCCCGTTACACTTATTCCTCATGTCTCCTCTGTTCCTCTTGGCCATGACAGTTTCTCAGCCCCAACCCCCGCCCACTTCTTGAGGACCTTGATGGATTTGAAGAGTACAATCAGGTATTTTGTAGAAAGTCTCTCAGCTGGGATTTGTCTGATGTCTTTCTCATGATTAAACTGGAGTTGTGGATTTTAGAAGGAAAGATCGCAGAGGGCCAGGGGCCTAGGCAATAGTTCAACTCCTGTCACCCTCCTGATGTGGCTGGAAGGTGCTGCTGATGCCCTAGTGTCCTGTGGGGGACTGAGCCCATCGGCATCAAACTCCAAGATGAAAACAGGGTTTCTGCTCTCCAGCTGTCCCAGGCCAGAGTGGCTTTCCAGTCTTTCAAGTAGGATTGCTTTAGTTGCCTAGTGTTCATCATTAATATTAAATACCACCCCATTCCTACAGGATGATTTCTACTTTTGAGAGCATATCCATGCATTGTTTGTGTTTACTGATTGTGGGAATTGACATAGGGAGGTCAGTTCCCATGAAGTCACTTCATGACTTTAGGCCACACAGAGGCCACTTGGCTCATCTGCAGTTGAGTTTTGTTGCATTTTGGTAATCACACTTGTGTCCCAGGGTTTAAAGGATACAGGGGGGCAGTGATTCCCAGGGTGAACCTTTTTATTGTATTGATCCATAGGTTGGGGTTTGTATACATGTGCACCTGTTCTCCTTCCTTCCTTTTTTTTTTTTAATAAAGAGTTGTTTATTTATTTGAAAGGCAGAGGGAGAAGGGAGAGGGGAGAGAAATCTTCCATTTTTCTGCTTCACTCCCCAAATGTCTACAATGGCTGGGGCTAGGCCAGGCTGAAGCCAGGAACCAGAAACTCCATCTGGGTCTCCCATGTGGGTTCAGGGGTCCAAGAACTTGGGCCATCTTCTGCTTTTTTCCCAGGCACATTAGCAGGGAGCTGGATTGGAAGCAGAGCAGCCAGGACTTAAATTGATGTCCATATGGGATGCTGGGATCGCCGGTAGCGGCTTAACCCATGTGCCACAATGTTGGCCCCTTCTTTGCTGCTGGCCTTTTCTTCTGAGAGCTTTCTGGCTTCCTGTTTTGCTCCAGAGGGAGATGGGTGATTTCCTTCTCCCTTTCATGATGCTGCATCCTACCAGGCTCCCTGATGGAATGTGGTTCTCTTGTCCCTGGCACTGCCTCCTTTTCATTGAAACACCCCAGGTGCTTCCAGGAAGCTCAGAGAGCTTGTGAGGTGTGCAAAGTAGAATGGGCTTTTATGTTGCTGCTTCTGTTGTTTTTAGCCCAGACTTTGCAAAAGTGCTGTGCAGCACTGTTGGGCAGAAGGGAGTCCGGGACTAGGTTTAGGGAAGGCCTTGGCATGAAAGGATCAAGTGTGGAGACTCATCTTGGAGTCACTGGTGCAGGCTTCCAGCTGATCCCAGTGTGAGTCAGCAGCCTTGTGTCTGCTCTGGCGGGCTGAGGACCTTCACAGACGTTTGCAAAGAACCCAATCCTGTACAGACAATACTTTGCCTGTCCTTTGAAAATGGAGGAATATTTGGTTCTGCCAGACAGAAGCTGAATATGGTATGCAAGCTAACTACAGACTTCCTGAGTCATGAAGGGTAGAATTGCTTCTGTTTTCTCATTCTCTGAGCCTTGATCTCAGGATGAGAGAACAACAGGTTTTAGCATTTTTTTTTAAAACAGAAGGTATGCTTTGTGTTCTGTGGCTCCCTGAATGGGGAAGCCAAGGCAGGGCACTGACTCCTCTGCTTTATCTGGGGCTGTTGCCCAGATTCATGTCTGCAGGTTCAGTGTTCAGGTCTCTGCAGCAGCAGGAACCTCTGCCTTTGGTGGGTGATAAGTCACAAAAGTCTGCTGAAGCTCAGAGGAAATCCTCCCATACACTAGATGCTTCCATATGGCTTTGCAAAAAGGGTCTAAACAAACAGTGGACATTTTCACCTGTTGTTGTAGTCTGGATCATAGTTTGGATGTCCCCCAAAGGTCTGCCTGTTAAAGTCTTGATCTGCAGAGTGTTATGTTAATTAATTAAGGATGGAACTTGATCCTTGGAAAGTCATTGGGTTGCATTAAGTTGCGGGTGTGGAGTCCCCATGAATCATGGAGGCTTTATGAAGAGAGACACAAGGACATGGAAGACTAGGATTCGTTCTCTCTCTCTCTCTCTCTCTCTCTCTCTCTCTGTCTCTCTCTGTTCTTCCTGGCTTGCCGTATGATCCTCCCTCATCATGTGTACACCATCCACTGCACTCATCAGATGCCACACTCGTGGGGCTGCCTGATCTTGACCTAGGAACCTCCAAATACACCTTCTCCCTTAACAAAAAGCTGACTAACACACTCACCATGTGTGTGACTGTATGTACCCCCATACGGGAAGAGGTGGCATTAGGCATGGCTCCTCCCTCAGGGAGTTTTGTCTCCTGGGGGATGTAGTGACAGCCATAAAACAAGGCAGAAACTGATAAGCATCATGAGCAAGGACTCAAGGTCACAAAGGAAGTTGTCATCAGTTTATAATGTTTTTAGCACATTGTTTTAATAACAGTATATTGACTACAAAACTCTAAAAGATTGGCAGCAGAAAACAGCGACCTACCAACTCAAAGGGATGTTACATAGGCATTAAAGGAAATAAAGTATGTTTATATATAGCATAAACTTTCTTTTTAAAAAATATTTATTTATTTATTTCAAAGTCAGAATTATATATATATATAGAGAGAGAGAGAGGGAGAGAGAGTGAGAGAGAGAGAGAGATCTTCCATCTGCTGGTTCACTCTGTAGATGGCTGCAGTGGCTAGCACTGGGCCAGACCAAAACCAGGAGCCGGGAGCCAGGAGCTTCTTCTGGGTCTCCCACGTGGGTGGCAGGGGCCCAAGCACCTAGGCCATCTTCCTCTGCTTTCCCAGATGCATCAGTAGGGAGCTGAAGCAGAAGTGTAGCAACCAGGACACAAACTGATACCTATGTGGGATGCTGGTGTTGTAGGCAGTGGCTTAGCCTGCTATGCCACAATGCCAACTCCAACGAAAACATGTCTAAGACCTATTATTAATCCTACAACTTAATAGCAAAACAATGAATAAGTTCACTAACACTTGGTCTGGGTCAGGCGTCTGGCCTAGTGGTTAAGATGCCAGTTAAGGTGGCCACATCCCACACTGCAGTGCGTGTTTTTTTTTTTTTTTTAAGATTTTTATTTATTTATTTGACAGGTAGAGTTACAGACAACGAGAGAGAGAGACAGAGAGAAAGGTCTTCCTTCCATTGGTTCACCCCCCAATGGCCGTTATGGCCGGAGCCATGCCGATCTGAAGCCAGGAGCCAGGTGCCTCCTCTTGGTCTCCCATGTGGGTACAGGGGCCCAAGCACTTGGGCCATCCTTCACTGCCTTCCCAGGCCACAGCAGAGAGCTGGACTGGTAGAGGAGCAACCGGGACTAGAACCTGGTGCCCATATGGGATGCCGGTGCCACAGGCAGAGGATTAACCAAGTGAACCATGGTGCCGGCCAGTGCCTGGTTTTGATACCTGTCTCTGGCTCCTGGCTCCAGCTTCCTGCTAATGCAGACCCTGGGAGACAGCAGTGATGACTCAAGTGATTGGGCACCTGCTGCACATGTGGGAGGCCTGGGTTGATTTCCTGGCTTCTGGCTTTGGTTTAGCCAAGTCTCGGCCCTTGTGGAAATTTGGGGAGTGAACTACTGAATGGATGGGAGCATGTACTCTCTTTCTCAAATAAATAAATAATCGAAAAAGCTTTACATTTTTCGATTTTTTGGTTTAGACCATTTTTCTATATATTATGAACTTGTCTGATCCCAGAAAATCTGTAAATTTGCTGAAAATTTCAAGCAGGAACATAAACTCTGTGTTCTGGTGAACTTTGTAAATGTAAGTAGAGGATAAAGCTCATGTTTGTACACATTTTGTCTGTGTGGGTGTGGGTGGATATGTATGCTTGTGAGTCTATGCAAGAATCCTTCTCGGTTGGGCCTACTCTTGTCATCAAGATTACTCACTGGGTTCAAACAGAGACCCAGCATGCAGGCAAGATTGTGGGGAGACAAGGGGACCAGCCACTGTTCCATTTTCCATAGAATGACCATGCCTGCATTCCATAGATTTGGGGACTGGGATATTAAAATTAGAGGCTCAGGGCAGAATAAAAGGTTTAGTCCAAAAGATGACCTCTGGCAGAGAAGCAAATCTTTCAGTGACATCATCTGCATGAAACGCGAGTCTGGAAGGACCAAGGTGGGAATGTGCCCAGTGTGCTCTTCCCAGGTCTTTTGTTTGGAGCTAAGCTGCCTTTTGATCCCAATGCAGTTGGCCCTCTGTATGCTCGCAGTTCTGTGGCTGAGTCCTCACATGAGGGGCATTTTCCTGGACAGGGTATAGAAGGAGGGGTCAGCAGAATTGTTGCCATCACTTGAATGTTGGGCAAGAGCTGTCAGCCCCTGGGTGGTGGTGGAGGAAATAGATCCCTAGGCCCTATTTTTCTGTGACTTAAAGTGGGAACTGTAATTTCTAAATCAGTAATGCAGGTTGCATGCCCAGAAAAGAGGGCTTTCAAAAGATGGACTTGGAAAAAAAACTTGATTACCAATATTCTAGGTGCATGCAAGCAATGTTTCTGTTTGTTTTTTTTAGCAAAATAAACATAGGCATAGATGAAACCCAGAAGGATCCCCCCAAAAGTTGATGCACCTTTTGGGTTCTTGGTTTTTGGAGGGATTTAAGTTTATCTTCAATTACATTATTTTTCTATAAACTGCTCTTTCTTCATGCTTCTTATAATACGTGTTAGTGCCAGGAATACTTGGTGTTGTTAAAGCATTCTTTTCTAGGAAGCCTGAGGCTCATCATAGACATTATTTTGAGGCAGAGAGCAAGTTTAGTTCAAGTGGAGCAGACAAATGTAAAAACCACAACCAAGGGAACTTCTTTCTGACTGGGGCTGATGAAGGCAAAACCACTGGACAAGAAGATGGTCCAGGAAGGGCTTTGGGCCAAAGCACAGGTACCTGGGCTGTGGCTCTGGCTCTGTAATGGGTGGAAACCGTTTTATGTCAGATGCTGTTTCTCAAAGTGCAACTCCCAGAAGAGCTGCAGCACCACCGTTTGGTAGATGTACGCATTCTTGGGCAGCACCCCCCAGGTCTGCTGAATCTGAAACTCAGGGTTGGAGCCAAGGCTTATAGTCATGTTTACAGGCCTTCTATCCAGATGTATTTATTTATTTGAAAATCAGAGGGATGGAGAGAAGGAGAGAGAGGGGGAAGGAGAGATTTGGTATACTCTCCAATGCCTTCAACAGCCAGGGCTGGGCCAGGGTGAAGCCAAGGACCACGAACCCAATCCAGGTCTCCCACATGCGTCACAGGGACCCAAGTACTATCACCTGCTGCCCCTCACAGTGCACCTTAGTGGGAAGCTGAAGTGGGAAGCAGAGCCAGGACTTGAACCCTTGCACTCCAGTATGGGATGTGGGTATCCCAAGTGGAGTCCAGCACCTGCCCCAGTTGCTTTTTTTTTTTTTTTAAGAAAAAAAAATACCTTGAAGCTTGCTATGAAATGGCATGTGTTTAGTGTGAAATATTTCCAGCATTGACTTGGTTCCAAATGTGGCATCATTGCCAAAATAAAAGTACAACAATGAGCTTTCGACCCAAGGTCATGCCTGGGTTCGGCTCATCCACTGCATGGCCGAGATTGCTCCAGAGCTACAGCTGGCCTCCCAGGGGGCTGCCGGGATAGCTACAGGCTCTGCTGAGCCCAGTGCCAAGTGAAAATGGGGGGCTCTGTGTTGAAACATCTACAGTGACATGAGAGCATGAAACCAAGTGTGTACCTGCACAGGATGAAACCAGCTCTGCCACTTACCCATCCACCAAACGCTGCTGGGTGTTTGCTGTGTGCTGGTAGTCAAGAGTGTTTTTATCTTTACGTATATACACACATACTTCACTTAACTCTCGGGGCCACCAGTGGTGGAGGTATTCCTACCTTTGCTTTACAGATGAAGAAAGTGAGGCTGGGGCTGGCGCCGTGGCTCACTTGGTCAATCCTCCACCTGCGGTGCCAGCATCCCATATGGGTGCCAGTTCTAGTCCGGTTGCTCCTCTTCCAGTCCAGCTCTCTGCTGTGGCCTGGGAGGGCAGTGGAGGATGGCCCAAGTGCTTGGGCCCCTGCACGCACATGGGAGACCAGGAGGAAGCACCTGGCTCCTGGCTTTGGATCGGCACAGCGCTGGCCATAGCAGCCATCTGGGGAGTGGACCAACGGAAGGAAGATCTTTCTCTCTGTCTTTCCCTCTCACTGTTTATAACTCTACCTGTCAAATAAATAAATTAAAAAAAAAAAAAGAAAGAAAGTGAGGCTGAGAGAGGTTACATAGCTTGCCTAGGGTCAAGCAACAGACCCAGAATTTTGTTTTTTTTTAAAGATTTATTTATTTATTTGAAAGTCAGAGTTACACAGAGAGAGAAGGAGAGGCAGAGAGAGAGAGAGAGAGAGAGAGAGAGAGAGAGAGGGGTCTTCCATCTGCTGGTTCACTCTTCAATTGGCTGCAATGGTCAGAGCTGCACCAATCTGAAGCCAGGAGCTAGGAGCTTCTTCTGGGTTTCCCACACGGGAGCAAGGGCCCAAGGGCCTGGGCCACCTCCCACTGCTTTCCCAGGCCATAGCAGAGAACTGGATCAGAAATGCAGCAGCTGGGACTGGAACCGGTGTCCATATGGGATGCCGGCACCGCAGGCAGTGACTTTACCTGCTACGCCACAGCACTGGCCCCAGACCCAGAATTTGAAGCTAACACTGACTGCCTGCATAGTCCATGCTCATGAGCAGCGCACAATTTCACCATCCGCAGCAGTTCTTCCCTCACACCGTATGGTCATGAAGATGAGCTAAGGAGTACTGGGAGGGGGTTGGCCAGGCCAGGGCTGGGGGCCTTCCTGGGGGAGCTCAAAGTTCTGGGGGGAGGATTAAGGGGGTGGGTATGCTGGATGGGGGAGGGTGGATAAGATGCATGACTCTGGAGGGACTGGCCTTTTGAGTATGTTTGCTTTTGTTGCACTTTTGTATGGACCAGGCCTGCTTCGGAGAACCTTGATAGCTCTTCATTTTCATTTCCTATTTGTGATAGGAACATTTTATTGATCTCATCTTCTTTGCCAGGCATAATAATTCTTGTGCTTCAATATCTATTCACCTCTCTCGAATGAAACACACAACACAATACACAAAGAGGTGTGCCAGCCACGGAGAGGCAGCTGAATGTGTCTGTGCTTGAGACATGGGGAGAAGCGGAGAGGTTAAAATTAGTGGGTTCAGGGCCAAACAAAAGATGCAGAGCTCAGTCCGAGCCCTGGAAATCACTGGCTGCCTTTTTAATAAGAAGCATGTTTTGCTGGCCCGATTATGTAATGTGGGATGGGTTGTTTTCTGTTTTCTAAGATTCAGTTGGGCCTCCAGAAACATTTGCGGTCCCCAATCAAACATCAGGAAGTCCCTCCTGCTCTCTGGATAGTGCAAACACCAGGATTTGCTCAGTTTAGCTGCAGATCCTAAGGGTTTGCAAGTTGGTGGATTAGATAAATATGAGATAGCTTCAGATTCCATGTCTGTGTTAGCCAAAGTCTGAAAATCATTCTCCTTACCTTGGTGAGCGGGGGGGTGGGGTGGGGAATGGGGAGCTTTTTGTGGTTTATCCTGCTCTGGGACAAGCATGAGCTGCTGCGGGGAGGCGCGGGGAGATGCACTGTGGTGGGGCTGGGCTGCACCCTGTGCGGGGTCTTTTCCCAGCACACAGTTTGCCTGGTAGTGCTCGGCAGCATTAAGAGGCCACGAGCAGAGAAGACAGATGGGTGGGGAGGCTGTGCTAAGTGCTCTGCTGGCGACCTGCCTCTGCTTGCTATGAGCAGATTAAAGCCCTCACCCACACCACAGCCTCCCTCACACCACGGGATGCAACATGGGGACGCTCCTGCCACCTCCAGGACAGCTGCGCCACCATTACTGTCGGGGAGGATGGGCCTCGGTGTCCTCGCTCTTGGGCAGCAGGTGGGGCGGGTCACTCCAGGTTTTTGCGGAGAGGTCTCTGTCAGTGCAGCAGCTCCCCTTTTACCTGCAGCTTTGTGCTCTGCTGTTTCAGTGACCCACGGTCAACTGTGGGCTGAAAATATTAATATGAACGGTCTTCAAAAAGCTCCTGGAGACATGTAGTAAGAAAAATATGATGCAGGGGCAGGCAGGGTGGCACAGCAGGTTAAGCTGCCACCTACAATGCTGGTATCCCATATGGTTGCTGGTTCACGTCCTGGCTGTTGCACTTCTGATCCAACTCCCTGCTAATGTGCTTGGGAAAGCAGTAAAAGATGGCTCAAGTGCTTGGACCCTTGGAACCCTGTACCCATGTGGGAGTCCCAGATGGAGTTCCTGGCTCCCGATTTCTGCCTGGCTCAGACCCAGCCGATTTGGCCATGTGGGGAATGAACCAGCAGATGAAAGATTCTTTCTCTCTCTTTCTCTCCCTCCCTCTCTCTCTGTAACTCTGCCTTTTAAATAAACAAAAGCTCTTAAAATAGATAAAAGCTCTTAAAAAGAAAAAAAGATACATGGATTTCAACATTTTGTACTAAATCGTCTTTTAATTCTCTTTTCCAAGATCTTTCCTTTTTTGAAAGATTTTACTCATTTATTTATTTGAACAACAGAGTGATAGAGAGATGGGGAGAGACAGACAGATCTTCCATCTGCTGGTTCACTCCCCAAATGGTTGCAACTGCCAGGGCTGGGCCAGCTGAAGCCAGAAACCCAGAACTCCATCCAGGTCTCCTACCTGGGTGGCAGGGACCCAGGTACTTCAGCCATCATATGCTGCCTTTCTT